CTGCAAACCAAAATATTCAGCCAGTTTTTGGCGGTGTGAAATAAATAAATAAATAAATAAATACTGTTCCGCAACTTCTAACGATTACGATATGATAATTTTAACTGAGGCATGGCTCAGAAATGATATTTATGACGCTGAATTTTTTGACGATTCATATTCTGTTTTTCGTAGGAACAGACTGTTTCAACGTGGCGGTGGTGTACTTATTGCAACCAAAAATGAAAGATTTGCCAGTGAAGAAATCAAAATTGCCGGTGTTGTAGATTTGGAATATGTTTGTGTGAAAGCCACTACTAAATCACACGTTATCTACATTTACTGTGCATACATTCCACCAAATTCACCGCAATCAATCTACGACTCACACTTAGCGGCCATGCATCAAATAGCATCTGACCCAGAGGATGTACTTATTTTTGTTGGTGATTTTAATTTGCCGCATGTGGAATGGTCAATCGATAGCGACAGGGACAACATATTAATTCCAACTAAATTTGCACCTGAGTCAACGGCCACTTTTATCCAGGGACTCATGGGCATGGGTGTTCATCAGGTAAATCATGTACGTAATGATTCCAAAGGGCGTCTCTTGGATTTATTCTTTACTAATGATTTCACCAACATTACAATTGAGCGTGTTGATAAGGCCAATGCACTGAAGAAAAAAGTGGAAGGTCATCATCCACCGATAATGGCTACATTCGAATGGCACGGAAACAATACGACAGGAGCCAATATCACAACAAAAGCATTCAATTTCAAGCGAGCCAACTATAGGGACATGAATGCACACCTGGCAAATGTCAACTTCACCGGATTATTCCACGGAAAGACAATCACTGAGAAAGTGAACTTGCTGCACAAGACTTCCGACGATGCAATTATCAAATTTGTCCCTACGTACATCGTCAAGTCGATACAAAAATGTCCGTGGAAAAACAAATTTCTTATAACATTGAAAAATAGGAAGAACAAGGCATGGAAACGCTACAGACGATCCGGCTACCATCAGTCGTTTGAATGGAAGTATATTTTGGCATCACGTGAGTTTGATAAACTGAACACGGAACTGTACAATACATACGTGGACAAAATGAAATCGTCACTTAAACATGATGCATCGAGATTCTGGCAATACGTAAATTCGAAGAAGAGCACCGAAAACAAACCAAAGGTCATGCAACTTGGTGATGTGCGCACAGCAAACGAAACAGAACAGGCTAACCTGTTTGCTAATTTGTTCAGTAGTAACTACGATGACTCAACGACTCAAGACGCTCAGCGATCGTCTACCGATCGTCCACAGCAATTTGAGGATTTTCAGCTCGACATTAATTTTGTGCTTGAAGAAAAGAGAAGCCGTAAACACCAAAAAGGGTATGGGTCCCGATGGTATGCATCCGATGATACTAAAGAACTGTGCGAGTCATTTGGCGGCTCCACTCACCGAGATTTTTAACGAATCATTGTCGACTGGCCAATTTCCCGAAAAATGGAAACGCTCCAGTGTATCACCCATTTTCAAAAAGGGGCGAGATCGAAAATTGAAAACTATCGTTGCATTGCTAAGCTCCAAACTGTGGCGAAGTTCTTTGAGCATTTGGTGAACGTCAAACTTCTGTCACTTGTACAGGACAAAATCACCAAAAAGCAACACGGCTTCATGAAGTCCAGATCTACTGCATCTAATCTCACCGAATTTACCTACTATGCCCAGAGAGGCATAAATTCAAGTGCGCAAGTGGATGTTCTCTACACGGACTTCAGTAAAGCGTTTGACAGAGTTAACCACAAGAGATTGATTCTAAAACTCAGATCGTTCAACCTGCCAGACAATCTTCTTGCTTGGATCGAATCATACCTGTCAAATCGAACTCAATACGTTAAGTACGGTAGCAGCGAGTCGAACCAATTCAACGTATCATCTGGCGTACCACAGGGAAGCCATCTTGGACCCACCCTATTTTTGTTATTCATCAATGACATAGTGGATGAAATGGACGACGTGTTCATTTCCTTGTTCGCCGATGATGTAAAAATCGCCAAAATCATCAACTCGAGCACCGATGTGGAGGTGTTACAGCGGGCCATCGACAAACTGAAGGTTTGGTGCGACGTAAACAATTTGCACCTGAACCTTGACAAATGCGCCGTCCTTACAATCACCACAAAAAGGAAGGACATCATCGACACTGATTACAAATACGGTGATTTCACTTTCAAACGCGTATTGGACCACAAAGATCTCGGTGTCATCATTGATCAGAAGCTTAGTTTTGTCAAACACATCGACGCAATTACATCGAAGGCGACAGCTGCTCTTGGATTCATCAAGAGATTTTGCTACGACATTACCGATGTTCAAACGCTCAAAACATTGTATTACGCTTTGGTCCAGTCTCATCTTGAGTACTGCAACGTTGTATGGCTGCCAACTTATGCCATACATATCGACAAAATCGAGAGCGTTTTAAGAAAGTTCACACAGTTCGCCCGAAGAGAGTATCGTACAGCTGCCAACGGATACAACATCACCGAATACAACAAGCGACTGGAAGCTCTGAACATGACTTCTTTGGAGCGTAGGAGGGTGAATGCATCAGTTGTATTCATGTATGACATCGTTAATGGGATCGCAAATTGTCCCAATGTACGCAACGATATCGCAATAGGAGAGAGCGTACGAACGTTACGGCATACTGACTACCTTAAAATCAAGGATAAGCTCATGGACATACAAATCAGAGCTCAAGTGCCTCAAATGTGCAAGTTTGCCAACAAAGTGGCTGATCAATTCAGAAACTCAACCAGCCGTGCAAACTTCGTCTCGTCGTTACGCGGCGAGCAGAACCAAAAATTTAATATTAAATATTGACAAATTGTTTTCTTACATCCTCACATTTGTATTGAAATAATGATAATTTTCTGTGATATTTATACTAATTTATTGAAATCTAGCATCATTGACTGTGATATAGCCATCCTTTGAGTTGGTGATTAACTTTTGACCGGTTATTGCTTAATAATGGAAATTATTTTCTTTTTTTGTCAATGTATTTGCAAAACTCATTGTATTATTAAAATGTTTATAGACCAAATACTTATTCCAATCAAGAAAGACTACTACTATAATTATCCCACACTAAATTGTATGTACAAACACGAAAAGATCAGGTTTTTCACGACTCTTGGAGTTGTTTTCCTGCAAACAAAGTATTCAGCCAGTTTTTGGCGGTGTAAATAAAATAAAAAATAAAAATAAAGACCATTTTCATCGGATACCGGCAAGGTTTTGTCGTCTGTGCTTTTGTTGATATTTTGCTTAGACGGTTCTTTTGTATCAAAGTACAACAAACTGGTTGAATTTCACTACTAAGTCCTTACCTATTTCAAATGATAAACGCATGCACATTTTACTATGCCGCAAAATCAGATCATATGATTGTAAAAATAGAACTCAAATGTGTTGGTGTTCACACCAAAAAACAACCTATGTATATTCTAAAGTTTGAATAAAAACTCGATTTCATGTTTTTCTTGCGAAATCAGAGATGGTTTTATCAGGGATTTATTTGTATTCCATTCAAAATATATATATACTCATGAGAAAAACGGGCATAACGTGCTGATGGATTTTATTTTTACTTGCAACTGTAATGTATACTCTTCAACTTATGAGGAGAATTGGATACTAAGAATAAAATGTTAAGACTGAACTTTGATTCCCGCGGACCAACAAAAACGGTGGCATACCTTTGGTCAGAACTTCTAACCACGACATGTATAATCCAGCAGATACCGCATCCTGCCTAGGCATTGGCAAAGACATTACCACTAAAGAAGCATCGGTTGAGTGTTTGAGCAGCAATTCTCGTAATCGCAATTGCAGATTGGTTTTCTCTTCGAGTATAGCTCTTTCACCTTCGGTTACAGCATATTCTGTTTCCTGGCATTTTTCATTGAATTCGTCCAATAGGAGTTTATGGAGTTGGATTGTTTCTGATTTTGGCTTTTGTCTCACGTCTTGTAACATTATAAGCGATGAATAGTCAATGCGAAGTTTTGATAATAAATTGGCCATGCTAAAAGAAGGTATGAAAAACTGTTCATTTGTCTGACAAAAAATAGATTAACTTACTTTTTTTCTTCTACTTCCAGTTCCATTTGATGGTTTGTCAGAGCGAATATACGTATTTTACATCGTGACCACTGCGATCTCAATGACAATATATACGGTATCAAAATGGTCAAACCGCCGTCATCGTACAACCACCAAACGTCGATTGTTCCATTGTGTTGATTAGAAAAGGAATGAAAAATTCCTAACTGATTGAGTAATTCTTTTGGCACTTTATCATCTGTGTATGTTTTATGTCCATTAACTTTTTCATCAGTTTTGGTGATTGATTCTGAAGATGGTTTCGCTGAAAGATCTTTTATTAAATTTTTATATTTGGGATTCCCCATATATATATACATTTTTTTTTTTAGAAGAGATTGATTGATGGTAGAGTGTATCAGATGCAAAACCTCTAGACGAGGTTAAAATGGAGTGACGCTCCTGTGCGTGGATTCACCACTCAAAATGACTGATATCATTTTGAGTGACGCTAGGACGCTGTATTACTGGAAACGAAGTTCAAAAGTGTTTTTCGCATTCACTATTGTGAAAATTTATTTACAATAAGGAAAAATATCGCGTCACGACTTTTGGACGGCAAAACGCTTTAAAGCTTGACTTGAAGACTAAATTCAAAAGTCCTGACGCAATATTTTTCCTTATTGTAAATAAATTTTCACAATAGTGAATGCGAAAAACACTTTTGAACCTCGTTCCCAGTAATACAGGGTCCTAGCGTCACTCAAAATGATATCAGTCATTTTGAGTGGTGAATCCACGCACAGGAGCGTCACTCCATTTTAAACTCGTCTAGAGGTTTTCCATCTGATATCACTACTTTTGTAAGGCTTTTTTTTTGGAAAAATACATTTTTACCAGAAGTATGTCTATTTTAAGGTCTTAATATTAGGAAATTGTAATTTTCATTCTAGGTAACACATTGGCATTCTAATTTCACAAGTTCTGGAGATTGCACTATCTAATTTCCATTGAAAAAGTCCCAATTTCCTCTAATTGCACATTATAAAATGCGGTAAAATATGATTAAATTTCAAAATAACCATAAAAAGAGTGTTGAAACGATTGTGGATTCTCATTATTTCATTGAAAAATATTAGTTCCCAACCACCAAAGCTATGGAAAGTGCATTTTTATGTATCCTCCGAGCAAAAGTTCAGATGCCAAAATGCCGATTTATGACCAAAATGACAACGAAATGGATATTCAAGTGTTCGTGGACTCCCATAATTTTCACGACAAAATAGCAGTTTTCTAAGACCAAAATGTCGTCAGAGGTCTATTTCACGTGTTTTCCGAACAAAAATGTCATTTTTAGTGAAAATAGAGCATGTTGAAAAAAACACTTCAATCCGACCTATTTTTCGACCATGAAATGCCCTCAGATCGCATTGTGACCACTTTTAATCGATTGCTCGTCGGAAATTGAGCGGATATGGTCTTTCGTGAGCCTTTTTCAGCCAGTAGATGTGTATTTTTGGCAGCAATTTCATCGTAGAATGCGACTCTTCGTACAAATTCCGTTCATTGATGAATCGCCTATGCCCAGAACTTCGAAATACGAATTTTCCCGGATATGTGGCATATGCCATTTTGTTGGTATGGTAGCCGGCTACAAACGCTCAGTTTTTGGTAAAAGATTGTCGGGCTGATTTTTGAGAAATCGCGTTTGGTGTGAAATTTAAGGGGATCGATTTTTCATAAAAATCGACTTTTTTCTTTTATATCACATAAACATTGGCATGTGTGTATGGAAATTTTTGAAGGTCTTCTCAAATAATTACGAGCTGAGTTTGCCCGATGGGTGTCTGAGTTGATCTAGTGTGCGAAATAAATACTTGAAAAAGTCGTATACATGCAGGCTAGTGAAGCCATGGGACGGGTTTGATGTGGCCCGAAACCAGCTACAGCTTGGGCATATCGGCACCGGAATCTGTGGGGGTCAAAAAAGTTTCCGGACACACGGACGGACGGACGGTCGGACGGACGCACAAATCAATACTTTCATAAAAAACAATGGTAAAACTTTCAATGCCCATAACTTTTTCGTTTTTGGACCAATCGGGGCACTTAGACAGGCGTTGGAAAGTTGGCGAGGAGGAGCTTCTCATGGACACCTCAGACCACCCTTTGGGTACCCCTTCGTAAGATTTGAAAATTTATCGAAATTTTCCAACCGCTATATTTTTGCCTAGACCACACTCTAGGCATGGGGGATATAGTATTTCCGACTATTTGGGCCAAGACCTTTCCAACGGTACCTAACATGCCGGGGCCCAAATCTATTGACTAGATCGAGAGGAGAGTATGTGAAAAAATTCTAATATATTTTGAAAGAGGAGAGTACGATTTCTGTTGATTCTATCTGCGTTAAAAGGAAGTATGTTGGCATCCCGTCTAGCCTCCGCGGTTTTTCACGGTTTCCGCGAAACTCATAAAAGATAACAACATGGTAACTTCGGCAAAGTTGTAGTACTTGAGGTTTTCTTTAACATTGCTGAAGACATCTATCTCTTATCTCTTATCAGTTGCGCGCAAATCGCGCACATAAAAAAGCAAATTTTATATAGAACTTTTTTTTTCTTATCATTTTTCGCGCTTTTCGCGGAGCTGATAAGAGATAAGAGATAACTGACTTCAGCAATGTTATAGAAGACCTCGAGTGCTACAACTTTGCCGAAGACACCAAGTTGTTATCTCTTATCAGTTCCGCGGAAACCGTGGAAAACCGCGAGGACCCGCTAAAAATGAACATACTCACCTTTAACCATTTTTGAGTCGAAAGAAACTTACTCTTCTCTTTCACAACAAAGTCAGATGAACTTACTCTCCTCTCGATCTAGTCAATAGAAATATTGTCCTGAGAAAATAGCATATTTACTGTATATATACTCGTGACGCAAAAACTGGCATTTTTGATATTTGGCTTGAAATGCACAGTTAATGGAGCGTCACTTGTCGGACTATCGTCCTCCGTGATTTTCAATGATTTACATGCTTCGTTTAGTCGTAGTTTCTAGCAACCTGACAGATAACTAAAATGTATCTTCAGCTAAGCAGCAGTAGCATCTGGGGCATTTATTTACATATTCGATTTTTTTTTCAAATTTTTAAAAAAAAATTCTTACACGCTTCTGTCACATCATCTTTGTTGGAGAACATTTCACTTACTTTTTTCCAGTTGTACTTACGAAAATCGGTATTGAATTTTATTTTTTCAAAGAGTAACTCAAGTTGTCAGTGAAATATACTCTACTCTCAACTGAATGGTTTAAAAACACTTACTAGCTGCTGTATTTGTTGATGGAATTTTGTAAATGTCCAGATATGAATCTGCATGCATTATTGTGGATGCACCTCCATTCTGGAGGATTCCGTTCTGACTTTGTGACTGTAAAAGATCCTTTCGTAAATTGGTAACGCTTTGCAATTCCAAGTTGTTAAATGAGCTACTTGGGGTTGATAGACCATTTGGTGGTGTCGTATCTACTCCCACGTCCAAGGACAAATCTAATCCATTCGGCAAACGTAAAATTGCCACCGCCAAACGGTTGCTAAACGCATAACTGATGACAAAAATTTATGAAAAGATGTTACCATAATTTTTTGTACAGAATTTTTACACACTCGATACTTACTGCAAAACATTAAAATATGAAACCAAATCCTGATTAATACACGTTTGCCAGTCTGATTTATAGCCCATCAATAAAATATTAGGGGCCAACTTGCCTACTCCAGATGTTTGAATTAAAGCGCGAACGCCTGTTTCAAAATCTAGTCCTTCTATTATATTGTAAAAAGCTTTGATCTTCCTTTGAGTCAACCATCGCTGGCCTTCGTTAATCATTCGTCGCCGTGATTTGTAAGAAATTTTTTTCTGAATTTGAATATTGTTTTATATTAAATTGTTGAAAACTGTTGAAATATTTATACTAAATTTTATACCGTTACAACATCCCCTACAATCATCAAGGAATTATGTTTGGTTATCAAGTTCGCCAGATCAACGAGTGGTGGTCGGTTTTGTACAGTTCCGGACAGAACCAGTATTTGAGGACGATAATTTTTCACATGGTCGTCGATTTGTTGCAATCGATAAGTGGACGTTAGAGCTGATTTATATGTTTGCGCTTGTGTCGTAGAACCCCAGTTCACGGCTGGTTTTCCTGTTTTTTTATTATAATCATTTTTCAAAGTAAAAATTATTGAAGTTTATCCGACACTATGTTTACTCCCATGCTCGCATTGCCAACGCCAACTGG